CTCTTCACTCGGAAAATCTGTCTAAACTTTCTCGGTTCGCGAAATTTTCGAGAAAGTAATATTTCTTTTTGTGATAAGAAACAGCGCTCGAATTTTCTCTCGTAACGAGAATAAAGATTATATTGATCGTAACACTAACTTCCTCTCTTTAATTGCACGAAAGACTAATATTCGAGAGATTCATCAAGATCTCCTGTCGTTGGATTTACTCGTTTCAATGTGACTGCGTAGATAGATTGGAATGATCTCGCGTTTTCTATGCACAACGACATTCCCTACTTGCACAACGACTACACTGTACGTTGATCTATTGCTTTTCCGAAGGAATTACCCTCGTCAGCCTCGGTACACGTAAATTGGAATTAACATAGGAACAAGTCTAACAGCAATCATCCAACGATCCTACAGTGTTTAACGATTAATTGATTAGCAAGTGAGATTTCTTCCTCTCTTCCCTACCTTCCAATGTTCTGAGTCTACCATTCGTTTGCCAAACTCGCAAAACGAGCTTCGCAGTATTTCGTGCGAGGCGATAAATTGTACGACGCTTCACAATGTTGGACAAGAGATAAATTTTATTTGACAATGATACCGCGTGAAGATCTAATCCAATTGCAGGAGATTGTCTCTTCGTCTGATCTATAGAGATTATCAGAAACACGTCCTTAGAAAAATTCGGAAAAGAAAAGTTGCGCGGGCAACGAGCGGCAGGAGAGGAAATACCGAGGTAAGGAAATGGCTCGTGACTGAAAAATGCGTTCAATTTTCCACGAATTCTGTCATTACTTCGAGGTGGAACTCGCCGGAGTGGAGAGCTTTCGCGTGGCCTACGGTAGCCATTACGAACAGGATTAGCCGTTAAAAAGGCGGCGTTTAGCAGCGCACTCATAAATCACGTGGAAGCGACAAGCAATTATAATAACTATTGTCGACTATAGACGCATAAATAAAATAGCAGGACCCCACGGCTAGGTAATGAGGCGTGCGAAACGGGATGCGAACCAGTTTCCCGACTCGTTAATCGCGACACGAGCAAACAGGCAAAGGTACTTTCGTGAAAAAGGTCGTCGTGACCCAACACTCGTCCACTGATATTTTTTAAACATATTTTCAAAGGAGAAACAAAAAATCAGTTAAATACACTTGTTAAGATTGGTCGAAGAGTTACGAGCAATCCTCGAGTAGTACAATTACTCGATTGTTAAAAATATTTATGTAGACAAATGGAACTAATCAGTTAAAGAGATTTATTAAAATAATACTAATAATTACAGGCAACAATTAAATAGTATAATAATGAAGTTCATCGGACCATTTTGTACGAATAGAATTTTACGCAGAAATTTTTGTATAGAGAGAAAAAAACGGAAGAGATCAGTTGAGTAGATTTGTCGAATACGATCAAAGAATTTCGAAATAATCCTCAAGTGCTTATTATATTACGATAAAGGGAAAAATTCTGACAGTGGAATTGTGTTTTGAAACGATCAATTTACAGAAATCTTTTAACTGACGAATGAGATTTAACTGACGTTTCGTAAAATCAATAAATAATACACCAAAGCTTCTTCATCTTTTTCACTTTAATGTCACTGAATTTTACGCTTTAAAATTACATCGGTTGTTCTGACGTTAAGTTTATAAATTTGACTAGTAATTCTCAATTATATTATTCAAAAATTGTCTACTTTTAAGTCCTATCGATCGATTGAAACTTCCTCGATTTCAAAATTCCCAAAAAATACTTGTATAGTATTTTTATACCATGTATAGTCTGACAATGACACGGTTGGATCGCATCGTTCGAAAGCGATAGCCTGGTCGATCGATTAGACGAAATTACTCAGGACCGAGCGCGAAGAATAACACAATTACGATGCAACAGCACGTGTCGTCGAATGTTTGCCAGGGAACCACCTTGTGGAAGGATCGTTGCCCTTGTCGTCAGTCCCCTGTTATATACCGCGAGATTAACGATAACGTGCCACCTAGAGCGCACACAAACCAGCCAAGTTCCCGGAACGGTGCTCCACGTAGAACTTCGTTCCCGGTAAAAACGCATTAATTAGATTTCCACTTAGCTGCCCTTCCTACGCTACGCTATCCAAAGCGAAGCCTCTGAAAGCCTCAAGGTCGTGGATACCTCATCGACGCTGGAATTCGAGACGAGTCTCGAATTTCGAAGCGGAATGAACGCGAGTGGCTAGTTCAAGGAGAAAGAGGTAAAAGGGAAAGGGTGTGGAAAGAGGGTGCGGACGAAGAGAGAAGGGGTGAGCAAGAGCGGATGAAGAATTGGAATAACCGAAAGATCGTAATGACGAGGATTTGCTAATCTTACGCTTCCACAGAGATAAAAAATTGTTTAATTTAATTGGAACATTGTTTGATAATAACCTGAAATATTACTGCATAACGGTTACTAAGATCTAGCGTTTATTTATATTTCGTTTTATACTTTGTTTCGCAATTCTGCAAAAATTGAAATTCTCAATTACACGAAAACTGCTTTCAATTTCCCTGATACTCGGACGCACTCCGCTACTGCGATTTCTGAATTACAAATGAAAGAAAAAAGAACGAGAAAAACTGAGGAGGTAGTAACATCGTCGAAGAGGAGAAGTTGGAATTGCATAAAAGGAAGAAACGAAGATGACGAGGAATGTCGAGAAAACGTGTTGAATAACAGGTTTCGAAATAGACTGAGGCAAAAGAGAGAAGACGAACTGCCAGCAAGGGACAAATGCAATAAAAATATAGAGTAACAAAGAGCAAACGTGAATTGAGAGTAATAAAAGTAAATTGGCGATTCTACTCCTGTGTCGGTGAAGAAGAAAACAGGCGAGAAACATGGAAACGAGAAACAAATAATGAGAAGAAACGAGCAAGGAATATAAAGAGAAGATTGTAAGGGAAGAAGCATAAATTTGCCACCGAAATATAACATGAACGACGAGAGCATGATAGAAGCGTAGAAAAAGAGAAAGATAGAGCGAGTGGCTCAAGTAAAAGCAGATGTAAAAAGGCAAAACCTATTTCTGAGAACGAGTTTACGAGAAGTTGGCTTGAAGTAGCCAAATGTGATCAAAAACAGTAGAAAAGAAATACGGAGCAATCGAAAAGGAACAACGAAAACTTTTAAACCTTCTGTAGATTTTAAATATTTTTTATATTACTCTTTAAATTAATTCTTTTTAGTTGTATCTTTGCAAAGAAAATATAACACGCTATTATTATTATATAATAAAAATATATTATATAAAAATATAATATATTATATGAAATATATTATATAAAAATATATATATATTTATAGGTTGACTGTTACAATAATCATCCTTGAGCGTCGTTTTCATTCTTACAGATATTTTAGAATGATTAAAATGAATATCATCGACAACGAAAGTTTAAACAACGCAAATGGCAAGATAATACTATAAAACTATTTTATACCATATCATGGGGGAAATGAATCAATCTCGCGTGGTAATTAATAATTTATTAAAATATAATGTCGATCCTTCCAAATTTTATTATTCCTTCTATCCCCAATTTTTACTAAAAGTATTAGAACTTCTCGTAGTTCTAAACATAAAATCGTTCGTAACGCTGTTGCGAAACCGTCAACAGTCGAAACGTTCCGTGTAAATTATTCCCCCCAAAAAAAGAGAAAGAGAAAACTGTGGCCGAACGAAACGCGCGGAGAGGCTAAATGATCACGAAAGGCGGCGAAAGGAAGAAGATAAGTCGCGAGAGAATGTAAAAAACGTAGCTCTACGCAAAAATACGCGGGAGGTGAAAGAAGAAAGTAAAAGCGCGGCTGGGGGGGAAAAACGCAACCGAGGGGAGGAAACGAAACAGAAGCGACAGCTTAACATGCACGGCGAAAGAATCAAAAGAAGTAAGAATACAAGAACGAAGTGCTCGAGGGGGAGGAGAAGAAGAAGAAGCGGAGGAAGAAGTAGAAGTGGCAGAACAAAGGCAAGAAAGGGTATAAAATAAACAACATTGACTAACAAGTGGAATAAGAAGTGAAAATACAAGACAACCTACCCGATCGAGGGGAAAAATAAACATCGAGGAGAAGGAGAAAGCTAGTTATCTGAAGCATAGGCTAGTTATCTGACTAAGTGAATAAGAAAGAAGGGAAGAGGGAGACGAGAAACGAGAGATAGAAAGAAGGAGGGAACGGAGGCTAGAGAGAGCGTAAGTGGGGCCAAAAGTACATCGTGCGGCTCGCGGACCGCCATAACCTTTTATCAGTTATCTAATTAGCCGTTGCATTTAATTAGCAACCGGAGGAGAGAGCCGAGAGATAGAACAGGCAGCGTGCGAGACCGACGGTTCTCTGCACGGTCGTACGTAATTTTAATCGGTGCTCACGTCAGATAACGAAGGGTCGACGGATGAACCGACATCCGCCGCGCTTGCAATTAGCCGTGTTTTTATTTATTCGAGAGTATCTGCCTCTTATTGCACCGCGCGCCGACCTCCAGAACCAGACGCCAGAAGAGAGGGCGCTCTCTCTTCTTTGATTTTCAAAGCAACTCTCGCACACAACTCTCTTCTCGTTTGCGAGTGTGTTTCGTTAGATTCGCGAGTTACCACAGAAGTTTCGCGATACGGCTGACTAGTTGAAACTAAAGGGACTGAATTTTCACTAGTTTTTTCCAATTATTCTTCTATTGTCGGAAATATTGTTCAATTGCCAAGAGTTCGCAATTATAATCTCAATTTAAAACTTTCAAATCTGTCGTCTTCACGTTACGACTTATCTCTTAACAAACGAACTAATTCTTACCCCTCGTTTCTTTTCCTTTTTTTAAAGAGGAAAGAATGCAATTAAATTCTTTGAGAAAGAAATTATTCAAGAACTTTGATCTCGATGTAAGAAGTTTCACCGAATGCAAAGACCTTGTCGTTATCATTCCGCGGGCATCGTTCGATTTAGCAACGCGAACACGCGGAAAGAATGGAACGATTCATCGCTCTGGATCACCGCGTCAGAGGCGATTTCTACTCGTTCGAGGCGAAAAGAAAACGGCGTTTGCGTAACAGAACGGTGGACGACTTACCTTCGCCGGATCCTCGATGAAGCCGCCGATGGTCATCACGTGTAGGGTAACCTCGCGCGTATTCTCCAACTCCTCGAGAGTAGAGTAGAGGCCCTCGCTGACGAAATAGGGCTCCGGGCACGTGAGCCTGCAAACGATCGGCAAATTAGATAATGAACAGGAATGCGTCAAGTTGCATCTGTCGATGGCGAAACCATAAGCCATGGCTAAGAGGCTAAACTCTTCTCTACAACCCCGAACGTATGTACGTACGTACTTTGGATAACGTAATTTAACGTTGTGTAAGAAGTCGAGCGAGTTTTCTCCATTAATGCGACGCTGTCAGTCTGTGCCGTTTTGTCGTTTGATGTGAAATCTGTCAGCGTTTGGACTCGATGGAATTGTATGTTGCAGAAAATTGTAATCAGTCATAGCGATAAATAAAGAATAATTTCACATTAAATTTTTGAAAATATAAATACGTGTAGATAGTTGAGAAACAAAAATTTCATAATTTTCTAATTCTACAGTGTGGAAAATTTTAACGACACAATTATAGTTAAATTCACTTACTTATAGTTGATTTCTAGGTATATAAATAAATTTTTAAAATTATTAAGATTATATTTAGTAGGATTAGTAACTAGAAGCTATGTTCACTTGCTCTCTAGTAATTCATTTCTAAAGGATGTTCTCATTTCAGAGAGACCAATCAGAGATACATAAAATAATTGTTGCGATATTATATTCATAGATCTTTAGTCGTTGAAATTGCTATATAACACGGCTTACACGTGAAAGCCTCTAACAGTTTTAGTTTCAAAGTATGAGCTTGTGTGTTAGAAACTAATCCAATTTAACAATGCCTTCTTGAAATAACTATGCTATACATATTGTGTATATCATTTTTTTCAAAATCTACAATTATTTACGTTTTTTTCTCACGACAAATAAGTTTCTGAGATGTTAATTAATCCGAATAATATAAATTTGATAATTTATATTATTCAGTTTAATTTCTGAATTAAATCACTAAAAAAAAAATTACGTTTCTTTCTTGCGACAAATAAATTTCTGAGATACTGGAATACCATTTAATCTGAAATAATATAAATTTGATAAATATATAGAAAATGTAATTGATCAATGTAATTCCTGAATTAAGAATTACAAAAAATACCAAACCGAACGCCAGGAAGAATTGGTAGCTCGTCGAAATCATTCCTACCCATAATTCTGGTACGAAGTTCCATTACATAAAAATTTATGTTCCTCTCTCTCGAAACTGCGGCATTCTTACAAAAGTATATACCCGAGAATATCGATATTATTGCCAAGGAAGAGAAACGTGTGTAGTATCATCATCGCGAAGAGCCAGACAAAAAAAAAAAAAAAAGAAAAAAGAAAAAAGGAAGAAAGAAAAAGAGGGAAGAAGAGAAAGTGTGAAGAGAAAGGGAGGCGAAAGAGGAAGGGCTGGACGTATTCTACTCGGCTTCGTGCACCAGAATGTTCCACAGTTACTCGGCCGTTCGAAATTTTCGAGACTCTTCCGACAGCGGCGAGAATCACCCTCGAAATTGATGTTGCCTAGCCACGCGATCTCTCCGGGCCACTCGAGAAACCAGTGCTCGATATTTCTCGCCTGCTCCATCCCCTTTTTCCGCCACTCGAACAAGACGCTGTGTGTGCGAACATATTTATTACAGCTGCCCGTGACCCCTGCAGCATACTTTATTGGTTACAGCCTCATAAATAGGATGTTTTGTCGAGATTCATCTCGCGTTATGCTCGTTGTTGCTCGCAAAATGACTTAATACCGCAAGATTGATTACGTGTGCAATGTTAGCGAGTGGTAACTATGATCGTACTGAAATTTCAGTACCTTCTCTGGAAATTTTAAGAAACTTTTTTTTTTTTGTTTCTCATTTTGAGTGATAAAGCATCGAGAGCAAACATGAACCGGCCGTATGTTCTTTGGATGTGAATTTGCGCTTTCGCTGTACTAATCGTTTCTTTCCTTCGAATTAAATTTCGATAACACGACGAAATTGAATGTAACACGTTAAATAATTATTTCGACGTTATTATTCTTTGATATTGTTACAAAAATATGAAATCTTATTTTCACAGTGTAGAAACGTTTAACATCACGTATAGAAATATTTACTGCATATGTAAGAATTAGAAATCTCCAATTCCACTGAAATTATATCACGTACGGATTCCTCGTCGAGAGAAGTTTCATTCCTCGCGAAAGCACAAATTAATTCATCTTTGAAATGAATTTTCCAACCTGGGCGACTATCTGTCTCCGGACGAGAGAGAATTTATATATAAATCGTTGCTCTAACGGCGGCTCATTAAAACCTGTGTACCGTAAAGATCAAATCGCGTCCGCTAATTCCGCTAAGTACATTTCCTAATGCGCTCTCATTGGAAAATTTACGGCTGTTAACAAAGGCTCGCGCAGAACGGAGTGGCATTAACAAGCGAGATTGGGCCGCTAAGCCGTTGGAAATTGACCGCTAAAGCGATAAATCAACAAATGCAACGATAATAAATGAAAAAGCGGCGCACACTTTCGCCAAGCCAGTCTTTAAAACACGATCGCCCCGTTTTCAATTATCGGCTACGGAGTTACGCTGCCAGCAAACAAACGCTGCCGGTCTCCTAGTCAGGCGCTTTGGATCCTTTTCAATTAGAAACGGAGTGTGAAAATTAATTACCACCGGCCCGAAACCGGTCCGGCCACGAAATACTCCCACGCGATCTTTACAAGCCACCGCGCCACGGTTCCGTATAATTAACAATTTATACGAAGCAATTCACCGATGGCCTTTCGCGTGGCCACGCAACCGATAGATCCCCAATCGATCCTCCAATCGATCAGCCGCCCACGTGGCTCCACGATGAAATCATACACGCTTTAAATATCAAGATCCACGGACGGACGGTTTTTTTCTTAACGTCGTCGTATTTTTTAAAGATACAATTTGTTTGTTTTTTTCTATTTGTTTGTTTTTTTCTATCAGATGAAATCAGAGTAGGATTTTTATTTTATACGAAAGTGAAATGATTAACACTGGAACTTGTATCAGGGAAATAGGCAAATGTTTTATCTATAAATATAAAAAACTTAATTATTCAAATCTGTGAAAATGTATCGTAAATGTAATTAAAAAGGTCGTGCAAAGGTTATAAAATTTGTCACTTTCACCACTTTGCTAGTTCTAGTTCTAAATCGTCTAATTATAGAATTTAAAAGTTTAAATTGTGCCATTGTTGCAAAGAGTATAAATGAATAAAGAGTATAATGATTAGATCGAGCGTAACGAGCAAATCTAGTTATTCGAAATTAGAAATCTTGGAGGTTGAAAAATTTAGGAATCAAAAAATTTAGATTTAAATTTAGCAAATTTACAAGGATACGAAAACAGAGAAGTCCAAGAATATAAACGGAAGTTTGCATCGGCAACTGAGTAACAAGGCTCAAAGGAAAATTTCAGCGGGCAGATGGGGAAGAATTTGATTAAATAGTAATTATTCCGAGAATTCTTGGACCGTTCATTAAAATCAATCTTTCCGCGTAACGACTTCGACGCCTGTAATTTCCAATGTCCGTAATTGAAATTCGTCCGGTTATCCTGATTCTCGATCGATTTTACAGCGTCGATGAATCTATAATTAAATAGCAAGAAAGCCGAAATTGAAATCACGATTTTTACGGCGGTCATTAATTAAAAAAGTATTAATTACAAAAGAAACAAACCGATCGTAAAATGAGCCCGACAGACGAGGAGAGGATACGATTATTTCTCAAGATATATACGCAATTCTCGAGCACGCTGTTGGAATTAGTTTCGTCGATTGACAAAATTATCGTCGCAGACGTGAACTCGGCGATTTCTGCCCGTTTTCCATTAAAGGCCAGCTGATTGAACGTAACTTCGACTTTGAAAATGAAAATTGTTCGTAATAAATACCGTTTAACCCTTGTCCCCCGGGATTAATTTACAAACGAGCATCGTGATCGCGAAAAACGCAAAGCGCGTACACCACTAACGATCGCACCTCGATGGCTCATTATTTTATTCCTTGCGTTTCCATGAATCATCGCTTCGTTATGGGCTTCGACGTCTGCCAATGAAATCGATTACGCGAAATACGTGTTTCCAATTATATTATTTTCGCGCAACGAGATAATCGGCATGTAGCTTTGACAAGCACATTAGTCAAGATTAAAGTATTCAATTTTCAACGTATCTTCTTTCTCTCTTCTCAACCGTGATACTATTAGATCACCTGATTCTTTCAGTATTTAATTTTCGTTAGGTGTGATTTAAAGAACATTCGAAGAAGATTCTTTTTCCGTAAGTGTTTCAGGAACGATATAAAATTACCAAAAATTGTTACGAGAAATGTTAGATTAGAATGTCAAAGGAAATTTAACATTCACAGACGAATGTTTTTGATTCTAATTCGAAATTATGTAGACACGTTATAGCCAACTAAAAATGTCAAAATTGATGCAATTGATAGTGAAACATGCTGTGGATGTAGCTGTAGTTCTTATTGTATCTTATAAAACATCAAATAAAATGAAGAATCAAAACGATATTCTCCATATCCTCACTTCATGATTATATAAAAAAATTACTAATAAACTAGAGTAAAATATAAAATAAAATAACATTAAATTTATTGAAAAAAAATTACATATATAAAAAATATTAAAATTAAATTTAATATTATACGATAATTTTTCAAATAAACTAAATTTAAATTTATAATGATAATTCTAAAAATTAAAATTATTATAATAATTAATCTATTTGAATAATAATTTATTTCTTTCTAAAAATCCATTACGTAATCCAATCCGTTACTCTCTGATGGGACTTTTGGACATTTACGTATGCTATCACATACAAGTATCACAGGTAAGTAGCTGAACTAGTCCGAATTCCTTCGAGTTCTTATTTATTAAATATTTCAGTATAGTTTCCACGACGGCAATAATAATAACGATAACTGGAAACGAGACAAGACCGTACGATTCAAATGACCACACAAATCTATAATTTATTCGCCGAGATAAAAAGGTTATGTATTGTGAAATAAGCCGTGTGCGTAACGACACTGAAATGG